GCAAATGAACGTAGCGCACAAACACATCATGCTGACAGCGATAACAAGGTCTGAGAGTGAAATCAAAGACAAAAAAATTGCCCGCAGCTTCCCTCGGGGGAACACTGAGGAGGATGCGGAGCATATAATTGGTTAACGGGGTGTTAAAGTGCGACTTACTTGGGTCGATGGCTAAATTGGTTAACGTGGTTGTGAAATGGGGTGTTAAATTGCGACTTACTTGGGTCGATGGCTAAATTGGTTAACGTGGTTGTAGGAGGGGGTGTTAAATGAGTGAACACGTACACACGTATGCGAAAGGTCGGCGCTGGTCAAAGGGACGTCGATCATTGTGTTTGTGGATTCGTTGGAATTCATTTCACCGCGACCTTGGACGTCGACGCGCCGTACAAACCAACCGACGAGCGGCAACTGAGCGAGCGAGCGCCGACCTTGAGTATATATACAGCGCGACGGCGCATGCGCTGTCAGCTGTCGAATGTTCTCGAAGGAGAAGCGCGCGCGGCACAGATGGTGGGCGACGGCGCGATGGCGCATGCGCGCGCGTCAGCTGTCGAATGTTCGAGAAGCGGTGCGGACGGCGCGGACGGCGCGGACGGCGCACTACAAGGCGCGAGTATAAGATGCTTCCGCATCTAAAGGTAATAAATATGCGCGCATTGGCAAAAACAATCTACCTGTAATCGCCGTGGAACTTACAGAAATCGGTGCCTTCACCAGACAGTTCCTGCGGCACCATACAGCAGTACAGCGACTATACCCTACAGCAACTACAGTGACTTACCGAAGCGAATAAAAACGTGCTAGAAAAAAAAAAGTAACGCCGCCACGACCACGTCAACCATTGGGTGAAAATTAACTGTGCATATACGCGCAGCTGCTCCCGTTGAAGCGCAGCAGCGCATGTTTTCCGCTACGTCACCGTCACCGATAAGAGATTCCACAATAGAAGTCACATTGCTCTGCGATCGATAAAAAAGTTTATTGCTCATAAGACTTGCGCACAACGAGAAATTCAAATGTTACCCTTCAATTATATAGAAAAGAGCACTTTTTTTTGTTTGCAAAAATCGTGGCTCTCTTCACTTTAAACTTTGAGCTTACTATGGTGTCCCTAGCGGATTTTTTCGGTGTCCCCGAGGGCAGACTTGAACGAAGCCACTATGGTTATTCTTTAGCTGTCAATGTTTTCGCCACCGATCGGTGATGGGTGGAAATTGAGACTTTCTGAGGCCTGCTGTAGCCATCCATGGCTCTAGCCAAGTCAGCAGCGCCTCCTCTATTTTATCAATGCCCAGATGCACCCGATCCAGCCGTTTGCCACCCTCTCCTCTAGCCCTTTCCTGCTCTCGCCCATCGTTTAACCTTCGCGATGTCTTTGCGGTCGTTGGGTAGAGAGCCCATCATGTAGTGCCGCACGACGGTAATCACATGTTAAGCTGCGTACAGATCCGTGGAGTGGCGTCTTGCATTTCTCGTGTTGATAATGTTGGCTGTCACGCTGGCTCTGTAAACGATACGGTGCTTCGAGATAGCGTGTCATCGTTAATGTCGCTATGTGGGCAACCAATGAGGAAGCGTCACTACAACGCTACTGCGTGCGCTTACTTTAGAGCGATGTGATGCAGCAGCGGCATTGCTTCGAGCCACAAAGAAGGATCCAGAGGGAACATAAAGTTAATATGCAAACTATATAACCTCTATGAGAGGGAACAAATATGACGGACGTATGATAATAGAGTGGGAAACACTCCTATAACATCGTTCGAGGGAAGTGCTCGGACCCACGTGTGACGTGAACAGCGTGACCCCTCATATAGCGCCGCATCACGACCACTCCTTGAACTATGGTGGACCGACAGCTCCAGTTGAGAAGCGCGCGTTTGCATTGGTATTGCATGAAATAAAGAAGGCGCTTGCCTAGTACACCTGCGAATGTTCAAGTGACAAGTTTATCGTGACTGCTGTACACGAATGAATACTATATAAAGACCTGCCACTCTAAATCAGCAACATTTTTTCTATTATTCTTAGTTTCGCGAAATGATCAGGGCAATGACATATCAAACGTAATACGTAATGTTAACTGTACACAGAGAATGTCGTTATTTTGCTGACACTAAGTCCTTTTGTTTAAATCTAGAATATGTTGCTTGTATGGACTTAAGTGTAGCTTTATGCAGGTAAGGCTAATGCGAGAATGTAGGGTCAATTTATATATAAAATGCTGCCAAACATGAGATCGTAAGTCAAATATATTCTCGAAAATCACGAATTCCTCTTTGCGGAAGCACAGCAAGGTAATACCGATGCATGCGAGTAAAATCTTTATAAGTATTTCGAACAACTAAGAATTACTCCGGTGATCTCACGAAGTGTTTCTCCGAACTGCCTCTCAACCTATCTGCATGAATCAATGCACAGACCACGCTGTAATGATTATGTCGTGCATGTACGGTGCCTAGATTTTTCCGAAGATCATCTCTTAGGCGCCCAGCCGTAACATGGCAACACATCACTTACTGCTTCAGTAAATCACGGATACTAGTTATTTAGTGCAGTACCTTGTCTGGTGCATTATACGTCTAAATCTTTTTGCTCATGTGATTGTGGCCTGAATCCGTCTTGATCGCGTGAATCTAGAAAAATGTTTGCTAGCTAAAGCTAGGACGTAATCTTTGATTAAACACTCCTGCCTCGTTAACTGCTTGCAAGACACCTAAATTTGCTTTGTTTCTGCTGCGGCAACTGCTTGTGACTTTTTTTCGTGAAAGAGCGGTGTAAAGTGTGCAGGAGAAAATTATTGCAAATATTGGAAAGGAAACCTAGCCAACATTTTCCTTTTGTTCTGTCGGATCATGCCGGAGATAGGTGCTGAGGCAACTTCTGCCGTGTCGCGTTGTGCATTGTCTGTGTAGTTGCGTGCGTTTATTGCAGTATCATTCCGCTGCAATCCTTGTTATATTGTTGTCTCTATGTTTATTTATTGTGTGTAATTTATAATAATGATATGCCTGCTGTATTTTCACGTCTCGCAGTGCAATGAACCTCTCTTTGTGCCAGCGCTTATCAAACATTAACAAAGTAGGCTTGTGCTTACCAAATATGTCACTTTAAAATAAAACATTTCACTCTTGCAATCATTTCCATGTTTTAATTAACTTGATATCGTGATATCGTGTGCTTGCTCCTCTAGTGGTGCAGCTTACACGAAGCTTATCAATTCATGCAAACGACGCATTAAAAAAAATAAAGTAAGGCCTCAGAGATGAGGACTCACGCAGAAGTGTTCTCGGAAGCTGTATGATAATCCTTGTCACAACAAAATGGCCTTCGAGACAGTCTATTATGCGGTCTGCCATCTTTGAGGCTGCGCCCCGCCACGGTGGTCTAGTGGCTAAGGTATTTGGCTGCTGACCCGCAGGTCGCGGGTTCGGATACCGGCTGCGGCGGCTGCATTTTCGATGGAGGCGGAAATGCTGTAGGCCCGTGTGCTCAGATTTGGGTGCACGTTAAAGAACTCCAGGTGGTCGAAATTTCCGGAGCCCCCCACTACGGCATCTCTCATAATCATATGGTGGTTTTGGGACGTTAAACTTCACTTATCAATCAATCAGTATTTGAGGCTGCAAAGTTTCACCACACCCGCTTGATGCGCTGCCAAACCAAATCAGCTAAAGTCCCTGAATATCTTTAGGAAAGTACCGCCATTCTTTTAACCGAGCTGCAGCGCCACGCATTCACCTCTCCCGCCTCTCACCCGTCAGGGACACGACGACGCGTGTTATCAGCGTGACATAGCATTTTTGATAGGAAATTGCCACGAGCTGGGTTATAGGGCCGGCGCCCACATGATGGCTGTTCGGGAGAGGATATGGATTTAGTCTGGACACTTGGGAGAGGAGGGTTGGACGCTGAAGAGAATATAGAGGAGAGTGTTGCTACTTTCTCTATATTAAGGGGCTTTAAAATCAGCCGCAGGGGCCTAAAAAGTGTCCTTTCTTGACCTTTTTTATTACTCTATGCTTCAGTGGCCTAACCTGTAGATGTAAAAAATAGAATAAAAATGGCCAGGATTGAGTGTGATTTGAATCCGGGCCCTCCGCATGACAGTCAAGTGTTGTACCCAAAGCCACGTGCTAGGAGTGCAACTGTGCTAGGAGCACAGTTGAAAAAAAAAAACCCATAGAGGCGTCATGTCGAGCAAGGAATAGCGTTAAACTATGTAATATAACGCGGCAGAGGAATGGATAACAGCCAGTCACCACACAATGCTATTTACGCAACGAGTGTTTCGTTCGATGCTGCTCACTTAGTGCCAAACGCTCAGCTATAATTTTTAATTGTCAGTAGTCACATACAGCACCAACAAAGCGCCCATAATACTTTAGATATACGTGTAGCGGGTACCTCCTTTGTCGACAAAAGTCGAGTAATGGCGCAGTGGGTGGTGTCTTACTACGCAGGAATTTTGATTTATGGCGCTGTTGATGCCTTGCAGAAAGCCAAACCTTCAAACACAAATTGCCTTACACCAACACGAACCTGCGCTTGCAATTCACATCAGGCAGCAATTTCGTTACGGGTGATTCTTTTAGTTCTTCTTTCTTAAAAGGTGTTTCTACCTTGTCAATAATTAATTTCTTAATTATATGACAAAACCAAAAATGCACTGTATACATAGAACTTCCTAGGGAATGGTATTTACTGCATAACTAACGAGCTAACTAACTAACTAACTAACTAACTAACTAACTAACTAACTAACTAACCAACTAACTAACTAACTAACTAACCAACTAACTAACAATTTATCTGGCTAAATGAATATCTTCACCCTGGTTCATGCCTCTAGTATTCGCAAAAGGGTTCGATTGCTGATTCACGTAATATGTGTAGTTTGTAAGAAAGTAGCTGACATATGCACACATTCTGTACGTGTAAATGAAGGTAATATCGCAAGTTACCTATACACCTTGTCTATTTGCTCGCACGCGTAGATGATCTGGGCGAAGACGCAGTACGTGGGCTGTGGCGTGGCTACCTACACCCGCAGCGACAATGTCGGCCACTTTCCGTACCAACGAACGCTCGTGTGCAACTACGGTCCAGGGTGAGTAAAGAACGCTTTGCTTCCGAATTGTTCGCAAAGGTCAGGCTTGCAGCCTTGACGCCGTTTGAAAAACCGCGAAGTATTCCTCTTCGTAATGCAATCGTGTCACCCAATTGCTTCGTCAGTAGCAGCAAGGTACATGTTCTTTCTAATCTGTGCACGTCCTCCGCGATGGATCAGTGGCTACGGTGCTCTGTAAGGGGGGGGGGGGGGTCGATTCTGTCCGTGGCAGTTGCGTTTCGGTGGAGGCTCAATGGGTGAGACCCGTGTGCTGCGCGATGTCAGTCACGTTAAGGACACCAGGTGGTGAAAATATCTGGAGCCTTCCATTACGGCGTATCTCATAATGATATCGTAGATTCGGGTCGTAAAGCCCCTGATATTATTATTATTCAGTGTCCATGCAGACAGCACGCATCAAAAAGCGATTATGTTTCTGCGTTTCTGTAGTGTGTTGATCTCAACGTACACACACACACACACACACACACACACAAACACACACACACACAAACACACACACACACACACACACACACACACACACACACACACACACACACACACACACACCCACGCACGAAATCTAGCAGACAATAATGCCAAGGAAAGTATAGGGGAAGTTATTAGACCCGATTGTAATGTAAATGAGAATAAACAAGTGGGTGAAAAGATAACTTGGCGTGGGCAGGAACCAAACCTGTGACTTCCGAATAACGCGTTCGATGCTCTACCACAGCAGCTATCCCCCCCAGCAACTTCATTGGGTATCTATGTCAATTTAAACGTGGGAGTGTCAATCAGCGCCATTTGTAGCCATGAAGGCGAGTGTGGCACCCTCTTTATGAGCCTGTTTGGCGTCACGTAGCACGTGAACTTATTACTAACTGGCAGCTGACCAATAGTCCTCCGTATACAACCTAATGGCACCAAGTCTTCCAGTACGAGACCCTCGTTAATGAATAAGGGAAACAAGTGTATACCTAAGGGCTCGTTTTTCGTGTTTTACACAATAATAATGAGATCTAACAGACAATAATGCCAAGGAAGGTATAGGGGAAGTTATTAGGCCAATTGTAATGAAAATGAGAAGAAAGAAAAGTGGGTGAAAAGATAACTTGCCGTGGGCAGGATATATATATATATATATATATATATATATATATATATATATATATATATATATATATATATATATATATATATATATATGCGGTGCCTGACTGCCTCTCCCATAGCAACAGCTGCGGGCGTGCATGCTTATCTTTGCCCCTACGGGAGCATGTGATGTGAGAGTGTAGGAGAGAGTAGGTGATGCGCGTCACCGCTCTTTTTCTGGCCGTTCGCTCTCCCTCCTCTCTGCGCCCCACTTTCCCGTCCGCTCGCGCCTTACTCTCGACCGTTCGCTGGCGAAGCGCCCCTTAAGTGCCAACCACTGGCACGCGTATGCACGCGCCTAGCGTAAAAAGCGTCTAGTCGCGCCTGTGGAGGAAAAGGGCGCGCACATACTGGCACGCGTCGACCGCGTTGACATCCACGCGTCCAAGGTTGATGTACAATGTTGCTTGATCTTTTGGCTTAGAACTGTCCAAGCTCAGCACAGAACGGCACGTTCTCAACTGGAGCGGGAATGTATGTTTTAGAGAATATAAGAACACGTTAAACAGTTGATAGTGCTTCAACCACCACAGTATAGACTTTTGTAGAAGTAATTGACATACCAATGCCCAAAGTAACTTCAACGGTATGCACCAGAAATCAACATCGGTGCGTGCGCCGCTCCAGCGTACGAACATTCGTATCTAGGATACTGTACGTCTATCATAGGCGTATGCAGGGTTCTCCTTAAGGGGGGGGGGGGGGTGGCAAATGTTTGTCACAGTGCCCCCTCCCTCTTCCTATAATAGAGAGGGGCTGACTTAGCACCCCCTCACTACTATGTTAATATATATGCCATGTGACATTAAGCTCCCACCCCCCATTCTCTCTTCGGTGAGTGAGGTGGCGGCTGCCCTCCTAATCAGGTTTATTATATATTGGGTTCCCATACCTGCACTACCAAATTTATTATTAATATCGTGAAGATGATTCAGTACATTTATACTTCATATTTTATAGCCCTCAGCCTAATAATCACGCCTGAAACTTCATGATCTGACATTTTTACGTCATAAGACTACAATTGGGGCCAGCGTAGCAGACTTTCAGCTGAAGTGTGTGTTAGAAATATCCTCTAATGCAATAAACCACATAAGGTTCTTATTGGTACAACAGATATTGGTCATAAGATAGAAATCAAATACTGTGTACAATGCCTTTGGGCATTTCCGATAGTCGAAATGTGCTCTAAAGCGACTTACTGTGCCTGACACTTCATGATGTGACAGATATCGGTAATAATATTGCAACTGAACACTGTATAGAAGACTTGTGGACATTGTCTTTAAATGATTTATATGTGGGGTTTAACGTCCCAAAACCACCATATGATTATGAGAGACGCCGTAGTGGAGGGCTCCAGAAATTTCGACCACCTGGGGTTCTTTAACGTGCACCCATATCTGAGCACACGGGCCTACAACATTTCCGGCTCCATCGGAAATGCAGCCGCCGCAGCCGGGATTCGAACCCGCGACCTGCGGGTCAGCAGCCGAGTACCTTAGCCACTAGACCACCGCGGCGGGGCGACATTGTCTTTTAACAAAGTATTCTCTACAGTGACAAACCGCACCCAGCTGTTGATGAAGTCCCAAATATCGGTGATAATATTGGAACTGAACCCTGTATGGAAAACTTCTGGACGTTGTCTTTAGTCAAAGTATTCTCTAAAACTTCAAATCCCACACAACTGTTCATGAAGTCACAGATAGTGGTCATAATTTCGGAAATGAATTCTGAATTCTGTATGGAATACTTCTGCACGTTGTCTTTAATAAAAGCATTCTCTAAAGCGACAAACCAGACACAACGGTTGATGAAGTCACAGATATCGGTCATAATATTGGAACTGAACCCTGTATAAGAGACTTCTGGACGTTGTCTTTAAACAAAGTATTTTCTAAAGCGACAAACTGCACTCAACTGTTCATGAAGTCACAGATATCGGTCATAATATTGGAACTGAACCCTGTATAAGAGACTTCTGGACGTTGTCTTTAAACAAAGTATTCTCTAAAGCGACAAACTGCACTCAACTGTTCATGAAGTCACAGATATTGGTCATAATATTGGAACTGAACCCTGTATGGAATGCTTTTGAACGTTGTCTGCAGTCGAAATGTTCTCCAATGAAACAACCCACCCCCTACTCTTCATGATGTGCCGAATTTAGGTCATGAGGCTGTATTTGTGTCCTGTGCGGAGGGCGTTCGAATGATAAGCGTATTGGAAATATCCTCTAATGCAAGAGACCGCACCTGGCTCTTGATGATACAACTGATACTGGTCATAACAATGGAACCAAGCACTGGATAGAATGCTTCTGGGCATTTTTTGTTGTCAAAGTACGCTATAATGTACCTGAAACTTTCATGATAAGACAGATATTAGTCATAGGACTGCAACTGAACCCTGTTTGGAAGACTTCTGGACGTTTTCTGTAGTTAAAGTATTCTCTAAAATGACAAACTGCACCCAACTCTTCATGAAGTCCCAGATTTCGGTCATAATACTGAAACTGAACCCTGTATGGAAGGCAGCCAACATGCTCTCTAATGCAATAAACTACACCCGACACTTGATGATGCAACAAATATTAGTGATAAAATTGGAAGCGAGCACAGCATGGAACACTTTCGGATGGTATATTTATTTATTTTCAAATACGGCAGCCCAATGTGAGGCTACTGCAGGAGTGGTGTACATATGTACAAAATGATAGCATTTAAACAGTAATATAACAATAAGTGTGCCAACTTAAACAAATATCACTACCCCCTTAGTGCACCCCGGTAAAAAATGAAATAGAACATTATTCTGATACAAGTGCCTCCAAAAAGTCAGACACAGTGGTATCACGAACCAAACCAAGTAGATCATTTCAGTGTTTGATAACATTATTTGAACGTGTTAGAGAGTGCTACAAATTGCTTCTAAGCTGCATCGTGATTACAGATCAGTGCTGTGTTGAAAGTTTCTGCACTTTGCTGGTAGTTTAAATATCCGTATATGTTCGTTATCTGCTCAGCCGATGTTTTTCGCATGGGCTGGTTCATACGAACTACACGGTAGAGGCCTACGCTGGATGCAGATGACACCGCTCTGAATTGCCTCCGCGGTAGGCGAGGGCTCACGCTGAAAGCTTCAAACCTCCGAAGTCTGTTTACACTCGTTTTCAGCACAGAAAATCACAGATAAAAGCACAGGAACACCGATATCCTCCAGTAGTCTGTACGATGTTTTTTCTCGGCCGACGATCACACGCGGGACCGGCGCAAGCAAGCCGGCCAGAATTCGCTGGATTTGTCGGCGTTGCTCGAACTCGGCGCGAAACAACATCACGCTCGTAGCACTCGCAGTCGTTTGTCGTGTCGTTGTCATTATAGATTACGAAGCACTCATTCAGGAATGTTGGAGTAGTTTCGGTGCTTGCTTCCAGCACTCGGTCGTGCCTTCGAAGCGGTGGCCATGAGGCAGAGCATTCGGAGTCGTCGCGGCCTCAGGTTGGTTGGCACGCGGCCCTTGGTTGGTTGGCGCCGCTGTACGCGTGGTGACGTAGCGTACGCGTGGCAAAAAATATCAAGCCTGGCTTGATTCCTCGCGCCTCCTCGCGTATGCCCCTCCTACGCCGATGCCGAGAGGCACATTTGACGCTTTTGACGTGTAGACGCAAGCATACGCGTGCCACTGGTTGGCAGCTTAGGGCCGTTCCATGCGCTTCCCGCACAGCCGCAACGCACGTGCCGGGACCCCTACCGCACGCTAGCGGGGGACAAATAAGCCAATTGGCGACGCTAAGGAGGGTGAAAGAGCGTCGCCGATTGGCTTACTTGTCCCCCGCT